TTGTTGTTGTTGTTATGTGCCCTCGAGTCAGACCTGGCTCACAGCGACCCCTCCTTGGGTTTTTGAGGCGGTATCACTCCAGAAGTAGATTGCCCAACTTTCCTCCTGAAGAGTGGCTGGTGGGTTTGAACCGCCAGCCTTTTGGTTAGCAGTCAAGTGCCTTAGGCACTACTCTACCAGGGCTCCCTTACTAGTAAAAAATTAGTTGGCAATATAAAGATGGTCATCTTTTCCACGCTGCCATTTCAACTATAACAGAATGCTAATTGGCTTATCAACAGGTAACTAATGAATGTTTTAAGTAGGGATTCTTAAATGCAGTTTTGTTTGCAAAAAGGTCCCTGGGTGGCACAATTGTTTGCATTCAGCCAGCAGTCAAAAGGCTGGCCGTTCAAATGAATGCAGCAGCACCACAGAAGAAAATGCCTGGTGATTCAAGCAAACTCCATAGATCAGTTCTCTACAACACATGGTGTTACCAAAGACAGAACCAAGTGGAACAAGACAACAATATTTTCATAAAGAGGTGTCAGGGATTTTTTTTTCTTAGAAGGGATTTTCCCCTCTTCCGTTTGGACTATAAAAAATAAAAGAACCTTTTCCCATTCTCTTCTTAGATTTTTAGATACACTCAAGCTTTTATTTGGTGAACTACCTTATAAACCAGCTATTTGACTTTAGATTGTGGAGGTATTTAAAATCTTTGCTGCATAGTGCAATAGTAACGGTAACACTGATGGCAGAAAATTTTAGTAATACAGCCCCTGACATTTTTGAGAATCAGTCATTTTTAAACAGGAGGAACAATAATGAGGCATGGGGAGATATTTCTGGAATATAATCTCAAAGAAATGTAAAGAAGTACTAGTCCTTTTTTAATGTATCGACCTTCAACTAATAAGTAGCTGTTTGGCCACCTCACACTTTTTACATATCATCTAATTATTTGATTCTGACTCCTCTCTATCTTCTTATCTAAAATCTTAATCTAGCTTTTAAAGTTCTCAAATTCGACCTCCTACATCCAGCATTGCTTGATCATTGGTGAGTGCTGATCTTCTTTCGGAGTTCCTGTTACTTTCATAATCTGTATCACACCATGTACCAAAACCAAAAAAATCAAATGCACTGCTGTCGAGTGAGATCTGACTCATAGTGACCCCTCCTTGGGTTTCAGAAGAGCTATCGCTACAGAAGTAGATTGTCCAACCTTCCCTCTGAGGAGTGGCTGGTGGGTTTGAATCGCCAGCCTTCTGGTTAGCAGTCAAATGCCTTAGGTACTATGCCACCAGAGCTCCTATCATACAATGTAGCATTTCATAAACTCCATTATTTTGTTCAAACAGAAGCCAAATTTCTCCTAATGAATTTTAAGACCAATGAGTATATCCACAACTTATTTTATACCCTTTTTAGCATGATATAGGACAAATGCTTACTATATTGTTAAATAACCCTTTCTTTCCTCTTCCTCTCACTTTTAGGGCAGTACTTAATTAAGAAACCTCCTGCAGTGAAAAATGAAATATGCTACCCAACAACCATAAAAAAGGCAATGGGCAGAAGAAACCTTATTTTGAGTTCCATTTAAGTGATTTAACAGCATTCCTGGAATGTCTGATGATATGTTATGATAAAAGTAGGAAGGCCAATAAATGCAATGTATACTAGATCCTCTCATGAAAGATTTCTCAGAACATTTAATACTTTAGGAATGCAAAATGAAACCTCTGCCCAACTTATTTGACTATGGAACCATTCTTTCCCTGAATTATCTATTTAAAAAACTAAGCACACCAATACCACTACATTGAGTGTAAAGTTTAAAAAACACTCAAGATTGTTCCTAGCAATGATTACTTCAGAGAATGACATGTGTTATCACTAATTAAGAAAAGAAAAAAAATGATGTACCTGAAAATTTCAACCAAAATACACTTTCACTATTTTAGAAGATTAAGAAGTCACAAAATGAACTTGTTCACTTGATTCATATTATTTAATATTTCATTAGATAAAAATAGTTATTTGTAGAATATATTTTATTTTAATTCACCAAAACATTTTTAATACAGAGACATAAAAGTTTACTGAATAAAAGACAAGTCATGAAAGTCTTTTTTTTTCACGGAATGGTATAAAATTTATTTTCTCCAAAGGCTTTCTATTTTAGTGTGTGTTGGTTTTTATTCCTGTTTTTTATGTCTAAATTAACATTAATCTTTTTTTTTATTTTATTTTAAGAAATTTATTTAAAAAAATGCAGAAAAGTAGGAAACAACCACTTTTTCACTACTTAGAATCGATCGGAGTTTTGTCATATTTCCTTCAATCCTTTTTTTCTAAATAAACAATTGTGGATACCAACAATTCTATCATTTATTTAACAAGTACTCATTGAGAACCTACTATGTCAGGCATTGTGCTAAGCAGTGGATACTGAATGCTGAGTAAAACAGATATATGACCTGCTGTTATAAACCTTAGGGAGCTCTGGTGGCATAGTGCCTAAGGAATTCGATAGCTAACCAGAAGGCTAGTGGTTCAAACCCACCAGCCACTCCTCAGAAGAAAGATTAGGCAATCTACTTCCTTAATGATACGGCCTCAGAAACCCAAGAGGGGTGGCTGAGTTGGATCTGACACGATGGCAGTGAGTTTGGTTATAAACCTTATAGTGTGGTGAGGGAAACATAATCAAATACAAACAGAAATAATTAAAACTGACATGATATGAAAGAAAAAGTACCAACCAGCCTTTCTCAACTAAGATTCCATGAGAGAAATCCTACTGAAAATGATTTGAGTGACTAGTACTTTCTCAGTTCTCTTAAGATTGAGTGCTGTTGTTGTTGTTATGTGCCGTCAAGTTGTCCCCGACTCATAGCAACCCCTCCTTCGGTTTCCGAGGCGGTATCACTACAGTAGATTGTCCAACCTATTATCGATTTCAAAGCACAGGGAAAAAGTTAATTCAGTGTATACAATATCTTAAGGCATTAGGAGTTGGCTCTCAGAGTTGTTCTCTCAGCTGAGAAAGGCTAGTATGGTGAGAAAGAACTGATCCAGTCTTTGGTGGTGGCAGTGGTGGATGAGGAGTAGGTAAGGAAAGCCAATCACCTAAGGAAGTAAAGTTTGTGTTGAAGTTTGAGAGAATGTACAAGAGCATCTAGGCCAGGGTTGGATGGGGTAGTGAGAAAGGTTACCTTTCCAGGCAGAATGGACAGCATATTTGAAGACCCCGAGGGAAAAAGAGCAAGGTGTTTTGATGAATTATAAAAAGACCAATAAAGTGATGCACAGAGAGTTAAGAAGGTGGGGAGAATAATAAAACAAGAAGCTAGAAAGACAAGCAGGTAAGCAGGGGCAGAAAGAATAATAAATTAGATTGCATAACAAAAGATCACCGTGACAGTAAGTGAACTGGAAAAGTAACAGTGGATGAGGAAGTTCAATGTGAAAGCTTCTACAGTAATTGAGGCAAGAAGTAACTGCTTGGACTGGAGTACTGATGACACGGATGGAGAAATGTAGACAGAGCTGAGTGGCATTTAAAATGGAAAGGAAGAGATAAAGGCAGTGAGGGATGTGTCAAGGGTAACTCCTAGGTTCTGGGTGCATGAAAGCGCTCAGAAATGGAGAAGGAAAGTCTGCAGAGTAAGTTTTTAAGTCTGTTTTAGGTTTGAAATAACTCTGATACATCCAAAGGAGATGTCAAGGAGATAGTTGGATATAACTGGGAGTTGAGAGAAGTGGTCTATGTTGTAGTTCCTTTGTTAGAGGAATAATTGGTGGAATGAGATAGAATGGGCACGGATCTCAAGAAGACTCAAACTTAGGCAGCCTATATGATGAAGCAAGATGTACAATATGTGTGTGTTATGTACAACACAAGATGAGATACATAAAAGAAAGATCGGAAAAAAGAAAGGGAGAACAAATGAGACAGAATAGTTTTCTTAACTGCTTTTCATTCTTGGGTGAAAAACTGCTAGAGACACTTACAGACGTAGATATCTATAAAATATGCTATTGCTGCATTGTGAATGCACTCCAGTTTCTTCAAAATAGTTCAAACTTACCTGATAATGTAAGTTGCAAACTTGGATACCCAGCTGATAGTAAATCATGAAGCAATTGTAATATATATTCTTACAAATATATTCTGAAGCTAAAAACCTATACAGACCTTTTCACTTCCTTTTAGTAGTTTTCAGTATTTTTATTTTATCTTCTATACAAAGTAACCCCACTTGATAATTTTACTCCTTTTTACTAGTTTGGAGAAGTATCGAGAATGATTACCCTCAAAATTATATAGTGACCAGCACTGGATTTCTAAGGCAGTAAATCTTTACAGAAGTGGATTGCCCATATGCCTTCCATAGAGCAGCTGGTGGGTTTGAACCTCCAACCTTCTGGTTAACAGTCAAGTGCCTTAGGCACTGTGCCACCTGAGCTCCTTCAAAATTATACAGTGTCATATTAACCAAAATCCTATTAATATGTGAACTTACTTTAAATAAAATACTGATTCTAAAATAAAATTTACTGTTGCTTGGTTTCAGAGAGTATGTTATAAACTAAATTTTGAATTTGCTCACTTTTTAAAAGTACTGATAAAAAAAACAAACACCAAGTAAAACTGAGAGAGAAAATTCCATATAGCTCCGTATTAGAAAAGACATTTAATTATACTCTTACCCTATATTTTTATGTTTGAATAACTATGCTCCTAGATTTATCCTTTAGCAACTCTGGTAGCACAGTGCCTAAGGCATCTGACTGCTAACCAGAAGGTTGGTGGTTTAAACCCAACACCTGCAGAAGCAAGACTGGACAATCTACTTCCATAAAGATGCACTGCCTCAGAAACCCAGTGGGGATAACTATGAATTGCAACTGACTCAACAACAGCAGTGGGTTTGGCTTGGTTTTAGATTTATTCTTTAGTTTAAGCCAGTTGTTGAATGTGTTTATATTCTTAATTTGTTACATACCAGTTAGCAATGTCCTTGTGAGCTACTAAATTTTGAAGAAACGCTTGTAATCCTAATTGTCTATCTTCTAGGAAGTCGGCATTGTAATTATCTTTAAACCAGCGTTTTGGTGGAAGTGCTAATCGAAAGCCGGGAAACATCTCTTTTAACTGAAAAGGAAAAGAAAACACAATGTTCAACTCAATTATATCAATTCTACAAAATTTATCCTGCTCCCTATAAGAAAGTATTCATGAAATAAGCTTAAAATAATTAAATTCAACTCAGCTTTTTATGTCTTCATTGGTTTATTTCCTGATTTCTGAGAAAGTTCCAGTTGCCACTTATTTTTACCCACAGTTGGCACTGTTGGTGTTTTTAATGTTAACCATTCTAGTGGGTGTATAGTAGTATTTCATTGTGGTTTTAATCTGCATTATTCTGTTGACAAATGATGTTTAAACATCTTTTCACATGCATATTTGCATTTGTATAGCTTATATGATGAATTATCTATTCAAGTCTTACGAGCCTCACCCATTTTTAAAACTGGGTTGTTATCTTCTTATTGAATTATAAGAGTTCTTTATGTATTTTGGATACAAAGCCTTTGTCAGATATAATATATATTTTCTCGAAGAAGAACCATGGCCTCCATTTCCATTTCCTTAACAGAACAACAAAACAAAATTTAACTTACAATTAAATTTTCATTTTAACATTATGTAACTTTTCAATTTTTTCCTTTGGTTTGTGTTTCTTTAGATACTATCTAAGAATCTTTTTTTCACTACAAGGTTGCAAATATTTCCCTGTAGTAGGAGCTCTGGTAGCATAGTGCCTAAGGCACTTGACTGCTAACCAGAAGGCTGGCAGTTCAAACCCAGCCACTCCTCGGAAGGAAAGTTGGGCAATCTACTTCTGTAGCGATACTGCCTCAGAAACCCAAGGAGGGGTCTCTATGAGTTGGGTCCGACTCAACGGCACATAACAACAACAACATTTTTATAGTTTTAGTTTTTACATTTTGGTTTATGATACGCTATGCTTATTGAAGGAAGCTCTGGTAGCATAGTGCCTAAGGCACTTGACTGCTAACCAGAAGACTGGCAGTTCAAAGCCATCAGCCACTCCTCGGAAGGAAGTTTGGGCAATCTACTTCCGAAGTGATACTGCCTCGGAAACCCAAGGAGGGGTTGCTATGAGTCGGGTCCAACTTGACGGCACATAACAACATGCTTATTGAGATTAAATTTTACTTTCTTAGGAAAGTTCTCCCAAACCTTACAGGCTAGGTTAAGTCTCTTTAAAGTTAACTATGGCTGTGCAGCAAATTACCCCAAAACTTACTGGTTTAAAACAATCATCTATTAAGATCATGGATTCTGTAGGCCATAAATTCACACAGAGCACAATAAGGATGACACATCTTGCTTCACAACTGAGGCCTGAGCTGTAAGACTCGAAGACTGGGAGCTGAAATCGTCTGAAGATTCACTCACTCCTGTCTGGTGATGTATTTCTGCACTTTGTGTATCACCTCACCCATCCTACAATCCCCTAGATTTATAAACTCTATAAGCATATGCACTCCACCTCATGACGCTCCCTCCTTAAAAGAGGCTCTTATAAACTCCTAGGGAAGCTGAAGCTAGACTATTAACACAAGAGAATACAATAAAGACAAGAAATGATCACTGTTCTGTAGAAAAGTATTTGTTTTCACCAGTGCATTTCAATTCTGATCAGTAATTTATATTGTCAATTGGCTATTTATTTTTCTATGTAACTACAGATAACCCAAGGAGGAGTTGCTATGAGTTGGATCTGACTTGACGGCAGTGGTTTTTTTTCGTATAGATAAATGGGTCTTGTTCTTATAATATTTAAACATTCTTGACTTTGTGCTGCGTCCAGATGTGCATCTCAACTCCTTCTTTATTCAATAGGAAGCAGCATAAGTTGAAATGGAGAGATTTCTCTCCTTGCCCCCTGTAACTTAGGCTCTCTAACATATTATTCTACCGACAGTTCTGAATCTGAGGGCTATTTCAGAAATTATTCACGCTAATGGCAATAATATTGAAACATATGATGGGAATATCTAAAGCCCTTAGACAATATCTTAACCAGACTCATGTATGCTGAAACCTTGGTGTGTTCCCTGAAGCCTAGCCTCACTTAATTTCTGATCATTTTCTGAACTTATTTCTTAAGCTTCACTAATTCTTTCAGCTATTCTTCTTTTTTTTCCACCCCCTCCTTTTTTTTTTAAAATAAGTGTTGCTGTTGTTGTCACGTGTGACTCATAGCGACCCCTCCTTGGGCTTCCAAGGCAGTATCACTAAGGAAGTAGATTGCCCAACCTTCCTTCAGAGGAGTGGCTGGTGGGTTTGAATCATGAGGCTTCTGGTTAGCAGTCAAGTGCCTTAGGCACTACATTACCAGAGCTCCCACAAAAGAAAGAGGAAAAAAAATGTAAAATATAGCACATAATGGAGCTCCTCAATATACAACTATTTACAGTAGACAGATGAAAAAACAAGTGTCTTAATATAAAAGTACTTGTGATGTAGAACAAAACACCCAGGGACAGCAATTGTACAGTACAAAAAAGTCTTCAGTGTGAAACAAATTAGATGAAACAATGACAGGCTCTGGAAAGCTCTGTTAGATGGCTAAAAATGTAAGTACCAGTTATGAAAACCTCCTGATGATTGAGGATCATGTACAGAGTTTGAATAAAATTATTTCATAAAATGTTATAGAGAAAAATGATACTTCTAAATAAATGTTATTTTATAGATATGATTTTAATTATGTATGTGTAATCATTGTTGTGTTATTGTTATGTGCCCTCAAGTTGGACCCGACTCATAGTGACCCCTCTTTGGGTTGCCGAGGCAGTATCACTACGGAAGTAGATTGCCCAAACTTCCTTCCGCGGAGTGGCTGCTGGGTTTCAATCACCAGCCTTCTGGTTAGCAGTCAAGTGCCTTAGGCACTACACGACCAGAGCTCCTGTGTAATCATTAAGATGGCTAAAACTTTTTCATGTATCTTCACTGTGAAACAGGGAATACTGCCTTATATATTAAAAAAAAAATAACACTGCCATTGAGTTGATTCCAACTCATAGAGACTCCCACTGGTTTCTCAGGTGGTAAATCTTTATGGAAGTAGATTGCCCAGTCTTGCTTCTGTGGAGTGGCTGGTGGATTTGAATCAACAATAGCAGTCAAATGCCTTAGGCACTGTGCTACCAGGGTTTATTTACCATATATATAGACATAGTTTATTGACATTATATATAAAAGACTTAAAAAACCCCAGCTATCATCTCCTATATCTCTTGGTGTACTGCAAAAAGCATGGCCGTTGGAGTCAGACAGGCTTGAGTCTGAATTACTCTGTGAATTACTAGCAGTCTGGCTTTGGGCTAATTAATCTCTCCAGACTCATTTCCTTATGTATAAAAAGGTAAAAACTACAATCTATCTCACTGAGCTGTGAGAGGGGTCTAGTATCTGGGGAAATTAATAGTTCAGTAAATATTTCTTTTCTAATCAACATAATATCCCAACCCATTCAACAGAACTCCTGGTTTCTCCAAGCTTCACTATCCTTTTATACTTTGACTATCTATATCATGAAACATGTTAAATCTCATCTAATATTTATTTATACTGTCATTTTTTATTATATGTGTATGCACTCACTCTCTTTATCTCTATTTTTTTTTTTTTTTTTTGGGTAAACCTTTATTTCTCAGATGTAAACTTCTTAGATTTATCATCATTATCTACAGTTTCTATATAATTCCAAATTCCTAGCACAGTGATGAACTCAAACTACTCATTACATAAATACTGGATCATTTTATAAAATGAAAGATCCTTATATTTCACTTTATTATTACCAATTATACAAATATTAGCTACAATTTAACTTATGGGCCTGCTGGTATTTAACATAAATTTTTGATTCTTATCTGTAAAAGTTAGTGTTATCTGGAGCTTTTTCTGGTGCTTAAACGATTGCCTTACCAATAAACCAAACCCAATGCCATTGAGTCGATTCCAACTGACAGTGACCCTAAACGACAGAGTAAAATTGCCCCTTTGGATTTGTAAGGCTATAAAGCTTTACAGAAGCAGATTGCCTCATCTTTCTCCTGTGCACTGGCTGGTAGATTCGAACTACCAACCTTTTGGTTAGCAGCTGAATGCTTAAACCACTGCACCACCAGAACTCCTTAAAAAATTTCTTCATGTATTTGTTAGCCACCTGAGTATCTTCTTTACAGAAGTGTCTGTTCATGTCCAACGCTCATTTTTAAATTGTATTGCTAAGACTGACTTACACCCTTATTAATTTTAAAAGACCAACTTGAAGTTGTCATAGAGATATTAAGTTTAGATTAAATTACTAGCATCATTTTTCAAAAACCATATGAACTATCTATATCTCAGTTTGTCTAAGATTAAGAAATACGTTAGCAATAAAGATAAATCTAGAAAGATAAAAGGAAGTAAACACTAAATAGTTAAGGCTTAAATAGAAAATTTTTAAGTCATGAAACATTAAATAGTTTTAAATTAAAACTTTAAGTCTACTTGAACAAAATTACAATAATTTTAAAAGAAACCTAAGAATTCCATTTAAGTATCTGGTAAGTTCATGAATTGCTTTGATTTTCCTGTTTATCATCTTAAAAAATCAATAGGAGTAGATATTATAGTTTTTTAATTCATCACTGCAATAAATAGTAATAAAATTCATACATGCTAGTGTTATATTACAAATAACATTTTATTGCTAAAATAGTTGGGCACTTTACATTATACTTTTACATTGAAGCTGACGTTTTCAGAATGGTGGAAATGTTTTGGCAGTCAGACAGTTGCTAAATCACATAAATTGGATGTCACACCATCAAATATTAAAAGAATATACTAACTTAAGTTTTAAGTAGTCCAAAGGAAGAATGTGAAGGTGACAAATGGGAGCGAATAGAATTAGTGAAGTTTTCTCTACTAAACACCTGTCAAAATCAGGAAATAATTTTTGGATGTTTTAAGGTATTCTCACTCGGTCTGAGAAGCATCATAAACCATTTGCTTCTTTTGAAAAAATGCTTTTCTCTTGGTTCCCAAAATACCAATAAACCACAAACCACCCCCCACAAAATTATGCAAAACTTTAAGGTGTCCAATAGGAAGGTTCATTCTTCCAACACTGAATAACAACATTTAAATAATACTAGCTTGACAGGTATAAAAGCTTCTTAATTTTCTTTTCTTGGAATTTTTGTGATATTAAATGCTTTATAAATTTACTGGTCATTTATATTTCTTCTGTGAAATAATCTATTCATTTCATTTGTTGTATTTACTACTTTTGTGCTCACTTTTTATCATTTATTTTTAAACACTCTTCATATATAGATAGAGAGGAGAGAGAGGGAGAGAGAGAAAAGAAGAGAGTCACTATGAGTTGGAATTAACTTGATAGCAATGGCTTTTTTTTTTTTTTTTATTATTATTGCACTGTAGTAAATTACATAGTGTGGCTTTTCTAGCCATAAGTCTTTGTAAACTTCATGGTGGAATTTGCTGTGAGCAACTGAGTAGCTGATTGCTAAAGTTATCCACTTGGGGTATTTCTGTTGGGAATAGCATTAAGTAATTTTTTGGGAAGTTCACTCTCTCTCAGGTGTGCAGAACTCTGATGTTGGGATTGGTTAGTTTGGCTACTCTGCCAGGCTCAAAAGGTGCCCTCCTAGAGGCAGAAGGAATCTTTCACTGCTGGCTGAGAGAGACACTGAGAGACATGCACTGTTGAGACAGACTGAGAGTATTGGCTGAGAGAGATTGAGTGCATTTCTGAACTTGAATTGTAGCCTGTTGCTTCTCTAATGAACTCCATAATCTGTGAGTTCTGTGTGGCCACTGCAGCAAACTATCGAACCCAGCAGAGAGGTGGTAGGTGCTACAGAAGAAATGGTTGATGAAAGGGCTGAAGGGAGGCAGCATGTCTGGCCTCCCAGGAATAGGCCTTGGGCTACTGATGGTGAGTCTGTCTTCCTCTTGTGGGGTTAGAGGAGGTCAGAAGATGCGGCCTCCCTGTCCCTTTGGCAATTATTTGTTTGCTTCATATGTATAGTAGGCAGAATTCTAAATAGTTCCAAGACCTTTGCAACTTGTGTTACTTCTGTGACTCTGTCATGTTACCTGTTGCCATGAAGTCTATTCCAACTCATAGCAACTCTACAGGACAAAGAACTGTCCCACAGGGATTTTAAGACTGTAATCTCTATGGAAGGAGAATGCCACGTATTTCTCCTATGGATTGGCTGGTCATTTTGAACCACCAAACTTGCAGTTAGCAGCTGAGTGCTTAACCCCTGAGCCATACAGCAAAAAAGATTTCTCAGATGTAATTAAGTTTACTAATCAGTTCAGTTTAAGATGGGGAGATTATTTGGATGGATTTAATTTTATCACGTTGAGAAGAATGGGAATTCCAGAACTCTTAATTGTACTCATGAGGAACCTGTACATAGACCAGGAGGAGCTTATTGTTCAAACAGAACAAGGGGATAATGCATGGTTTAAAATCAAGAAGGGACTGTGTCATGGTTGTATCCTTTCTCATACTTATTCAATCTGTATACTGAACAAATAATCTGAAAAGCTGGATTATATGATGAAGAACGTGGTGTCAGGATTGGAGGAAGGCTCATTAACAACCTGAGATACACAGATGACACAACTTTGCTTGCTGAAAATGAGGGTGACTTGAAGCACTTACTGATGAAGACTGAAGACTACAGTCTGCAATATGGATCACATCTCAGTATAAAGAAAACAAAAATCCTCACAACTGGACCAATAAGCAGCATCATAATAAATGGAGAAAAGATTGAAGTTGTCAGAGACTTCATATTACCTGGTTCTGCAATCAACACCAATGGAAGCAGCAGTCAAGACATTAGATGACATATTGCATTGGGCACATGTGCTGCAAAAGACCTCTTTCAAGTGATGAAGAGCGAAGATGTCTCCTTGAAGACTAAGGTCCGCCTAACCCAATCTATGGTATTTTCAATTGCCTCATATGCATGTGAGAGCTGGACAATGAATAAGGAAGACTAAAGAAGAGTTGATGCTTTTGAGTTGTGGTGTTGGCGAAGAATACTAAAAGTACCGTGGACTGACAAAATAACTAACAAATTTGTCCTGGAAGAAGTGCAGCTGGAATGCTCCCTGGAAGTGAGAATGGCCAGGTTTTGTGTCACCTTCTTTGGTCATGTTATAAGAAGGGACCATTCCCTGGAGAAGGGTATCATGCTTGGTAAAGTGGAGGATCAACGAAAAAGGAGAAGGCCCCAACAAGATGGACCAACACAGTGGCTATGACGATGGACTCACGTATAGCAAGGATTGTGAAGCTGGCACAAGACCGGGCAGTGTTTCACTCTGTTTTACATATGGTTGCTACGAATCGGAGATGACTCGATGGCACCTAACGACAACAATTTTATCACATTAGCCCTTAAAAAGTGAGAGTTTTCTCTCGCCAGTGGCAGAAGGAAAAGCCAGAGTGAACGCAAAGCACAAGAAGGATGTGACATGCTGTTTCTGGTTTTGAAGATGCTGGAGCCACATGTTGAGAAGTAAAGAGTATTCCCTAGGAGCTAAAAGCAACCTCTGGCTGACGGGCAGCAAGAAAATGGGATTCTACGACTTTGAGGAATTGAACTGAACTGAATTCTGCCAACAAACTGAATGAGCTTGGAAGATGATTCTTCCTCACAGCCTCCAAGGAAGTGCAAGTTTGGCCAACAGCTTGATTTTAACCTTATGAAACTTAAATAGTGAGCCAGCTGAGCCTACTGGAACCATGAGATAATAAACCGACGTTGTTTCAAGCCACTACATTTGTGATCATTTGTTATGTAGGAACAGGAAAGTAGTAAACCCCCCAAAAAACCCAAACTCACTGCCATCGAGTAGATTTCAACTCATAGAGACCCCTCCTTACGTTTCCGAGGTGGTATCATTACAGAAGTAGATTGCCCAATCTTCCTCCTGAGGACTGGCTGGTGGGTTTGAACTGCTAGCCTTCTCATCAGCAGTCAAATAAATGCCTTAGGCACTATGCCACCAGAGCTTCCAGGAAAGCAGTAATATGTTAAAAATATTTTTTTTCATTCTCTTATAATCACATGATTTTGGGGGTATACTATGTATCTCTCCAAATCCACAAACTTTTATAATCACTTGTATTTTCTTTTAGCTATTTTAAGTTTTCACATTAAAAATATTTTTTTCCCCCACAAAAATAAAGCTATGTGTATAGATGGGAGTTTAGGTTATTAAAGTGAAATAAGAACATTTTGATTCAAATAGTTAATAGCAAGAAAAAACTCAAATATAACAGAAGAAATGTAAGGAATAGATAATAATTCAAAATTGAAAGTCAGTTTTGGATTTATTAAAGAACTTACTTTGTCATTAAGTCTAGAGAAGTCAGTATATCTTCTAAAAACTACCCAGCTTTCTTCTGGGCTTTTCTTTACCAGTATTTTATACACCTGTGGGGGAAGGGGGAGGAAAGTAAAGATATTTAAAAATTCAAACCAAATATTCCTAGATCTTTTACTTGACAACTCAGATTATAACCATCTAATATCCTTTCTTTCAAGCTTATATATGTAAGGGTTAAAGCTAGCATACTCTTAAGTTCTCACTATTAGAGATGCATTAAATAATTAAGTTCTACAATTTTATATCAATATCTATGAATGTTTTTAGTCTTAAAAACATGATCACATAAGAATATTATGAAAATCATGACCTTAAAATTTATAGCAATTACTTAGATCATAAAAATGTATAAGTAAGCAAATGTTGTCACCAAGTGATTTTTTAATGATACATGAATATGATAAATTTGAAAATATGCTTTTTCTGCACCCACTAGTGACAATGAACTCATTAGCTTCCAAAATGTTTTATGTCAACATATTCTAAAATTAACAAAAGTGTTACTCACACTTGAAGCTATGAAAAACAGCACTTTTATCCTACATAACTTAATTTTTAGATCCAACAACTACCAAACAAGATTTTCAAATAAGTTCAATGTTTTAATCTTCAAGGCTGAAATTCAAACTAAACAAGTTCCCAAAGTAGATAAAATTTTACATTTTTCTAACTAAGCACAATTATCTATGTTATTGAATAGAAACACTTAGCTGAAGTCAATATATTTTAAAAAGGAAATAATATGAAAAAAGAACTATCTGTGTAAATATAATTAAAAAAACTTTTTGAGGAAGTGCTATTTATGAGATTATGACAGAAACATTTCCTAGTAGGTGTTGGTACAGTATTTTGGGGTAAGCTAAAACATGGCTGCAGTGCAATGCTTTGCTTGGTGTAGCGCTTCTAGCCATGGTCTTTGTGACTCCCACCAGATGACTGGGTGAGACCATGCAAATGTGAGATGCTGTGACCCGCCAAATTGCTAATAATGTAAATAAGGTGCATGGCATCCTTGTAGATAGTGGGACCATGAAAATAAGGTGTATGGAATCCTAAAATGGGGATTGAGTCAGTTTTGCATCCTGCTAGGTTCACTTTAAGTGAACCATCTCAGAGGCAGAAAGCAGGGGCTCTCAATAGCATCAAGAAGGGTCAGGAGTGAAGTATGTCCATCGAATAATGGATTCCTGTGTTGAACTTCCTTGATCCAAGAGACAAGACAGCTGTGCCACCAGAGATGCCAGAGACGGCGAGAAGCAGCAGCAGAGAAACAGCAGCAGCAGAACCAAAATACCAGCTTGAGGCACAGGGACGGGCTTCCCAGTCCACAGAGTGATAAAACTGAGTGCCTCTGTGTAGGAGGCTTGCTGGTGGAGTGGGGTGCCTCTAAACATTTAAAAAACAAAACAAAACAAAAAAAAAAACAAACTCACTGCTGGAGTCAGAACCACCAGAGCTCCCCTAGGCACTTACAGGCAGAGCTAAAGAAGCTTTGTAACACTTGCTTGAGCAGGGCAAAGACCTACGTCTATAAAGCCGAGAGGCTGAGGGCTACAGAGAGAGGGCTGAGAAGAGGCAGTCCTGATTGAAGAATTGTATTCCGAGTCATTTCTGATTCTGAATTGTAACCTGTTACTTTCCTAATAAACCCCATAATGCTGAGTATTGCTGTGAGTTCTGTGTGGCCGCTGTAATGAATTATTGAGCCCAGCAGGAAAGTACAGTGTGCTGCTGTAGGAGAGAAAGTTGGTGTCAGAACTGGTAAAATGGCTGAATGGTGGAGGTATGACTGACATCCTTCTCACAGGAAATAGCCTTGTGCTGCTGTTGATCTGATTCTTTTCTCACCTTGTGAAGGTAGAAGAGGTCAGATGCCTCCCCCACACCATTTTTACAATGGCACATATAAGGTACTCAATAAGTATCTGTCGAATGAGTGGAACTCTCTTAAAAACAGTAACTTCTCTTCTTGAAGTTAGCTATGTAACTGGAGCTCTAGAGCTGTGGTCTATTCACAGGTGGCTACTAAGCACCTGAAATGTGGCTAGTCCAAATTAAGATGTGCAATGAGTATAAAATACATGTTGGATTTCAAAGACTTGGAAAATTATACCATTAAAATTGTTTCATATTGATTACATTTTGAAATCTATTTTAGATATATTATATTAAATAAAATATAAAAATAATTTTACCTGTTTCTTTCCATTTCTTTTTTTAAATCATGTTTACTAGAAAATTAAAAATTACAAATGTGTCTTACATTATATTATTTTAGACAGTGCTGCTCTAGAGACAACTCATTATTCAGGGATCATCCTTCCTATTTCATTTTTCCTCCCTGAAGACTTTTCTTTCAGCTTTTAAAGGGGAGAATTAGAAAGGGGTAAGAATAAATCCTTTAGTTCTGAAATTAAAAAAAAAAAAAGTAATTTATATTTGTAACACATAAAGGTAGGGAACAAGATTTGGATACCCTTAAAGTCTGCAGCTCTGGTAGCATAATGCCTGAAGCACTTGACTGCTAACCAGAAGGCTGGTGGTCAAACCCACCAGCCACTGCTCGGAAGGAAGATGGGATAATCTACTTCAGTAGTGATACTGCCTCGGAAACCCAAGGAGGGGTCGCTATGAGTTGGGTCTCACTGGACGGCACATAACAACAACAATAGCAACAAAGTCTGCAGAAAGGCCTAAGATAGATGCAGTGGGAATACAAAGGAACATTCTTTTTAGATGTTGCTAATTGGAAAAAAAAAAAGCAATAAATTGACTTCAAAACTTTTGAGTATAACTCTAAAATCATACTGATGCATGCTAAAAGCCAATTCTATATGATAACTAGGTTTACCTACAAATAATCCATATGTACTTTATTTTCCTGTTTTGGAAAAGGTACTGTGGTGGTTTTATTTGTGTGTCAACTTGGCTGGGCCTGGTTGAGTGGCTGGGCAGCTGGTGGTAGTTATTCCCCATGATGAGACTGGCAATCAACTCCATGGTGGGATCTACCACAAGCAGCTGAGTAGCTGCTTTGGGTATGTGGTGTGCTTCCTGTATATAAGCAGCAGCTTTGGGAATGGTCTCTAGCTTATGGCATGCTTGAACCCTGCATGTAGCTGTGTCGTTGTTCAGTAGCCTGCCATGCTCTGCCGACCTTGGGACTTATAATGGACTTGAATCAACGGCCTGCTGTGTCGTTTGGTAACACCAGGACTGTGCCATTTTATTTGTTGACCTTGGGCTTATTAGCCTCAGCAGCCACTAGCTGCCTGAGTGAAGAGATGCCCCTAGTTTCAGTGGGCCGGGAGCAAGAGGCAGAGCCGAAGCCCAAGGTCGAGGGGCTTTCACCCAGCCCCTAGAGCCTGGCAAGTAGAACTTGGACTGCTAGCCTCCTGAACTGTAAGAAAATAAACTCCTGTTTGTTAAGGCCATCCCATTTGTGGTATATTCCTGTCCGAGTGGCACTAGGTAACCACAACAGGTACCCATCGTCTAACTAAATGGTTGCTCTACCCAATGGCTCTTAACACTCCTGCTTCTCTTGGAAAGGCAAAGTGCAGACCTTTGTGCTTTATCTTTTCTAGAAAGTTCTCTATCTGTCTACTTAACTAGTGCCCTTTCAAAGAAAACTTTATGGGTAGTACTGATTATTCCCTTCTCTCGGTTCAAACAGCACATTGTCTATCTTTTCATGTAGTCCTTTTTTTTTTTTTTTTAATGGATTTTTAAGCAACATACAATCAATTATATAAACAGGAAAGTGCCCAAATCATAGTATACAATTTCACAAAGGAAACACACCCATGTAACTAGCTCCCCCAGCAAGAAACAAAACATTACCAATTTACCAAATGAGGCAGGCAGAAGCTTACCTCATGCCTCTTTTCCAATCCTACTCACCATCCACTCCTAGTCACTTTTTGTTTAAAAATCTCCTTGAATGACTCGATACTCTTAATGTTATCAGATCTCAATTGTCAGTCCTCTAATGCTTTCTTCAGTTAAGAGCTCAAGTCAAAGGAACATATCCAGGAAAAATTACAAAGTTAAGATTCCTAAGCTTGTGTCTCCAGCTGAGACCTGTCCCTTGAACTGACTTATACACACACACACACGCGTACAAGTATCCACACTCACACACATATAGAAATAAACATATCGATCATCTCCATTCTCAAGTCTGATAGCTCAAAACAAGCAGGTCCAAGAACAATTTCTGATCTTCGCTTCAAACCCTGTCATCTAACTAAATAACATTATTCTTCTCATTATTCAGGCCTAAAACTATGGATTCAATTTGATTTCTCTTTTGCTCCCACTCCACTTTATCAGGAAATATTGTTGGCTCTTACTTCAAAATATATGCAGATTCTGGTAATTGCTCAGGATCTCCATCATCCCAGCTCAAACCACCATGTCTCGCTTGGATTACTGCAAAACCTAATTGACTCTTGTTTTCACTATGCCCCTATACAATCTTAGTTTAATAGCCAGAATGAGCCTTTCAAACCAGTAAATGACTCCCCTTTTTAAAATCTCGTAAGAGTCCCATTTTGTGTAGAGTAAAATTCAAAGTTGTTACAGTAGCCTATAAGGTCCTACACAATCTGTTTGCCACCCTCTTACCTTTACCTGTTACCTTCTACATCCCTTTCCCCTTGCTTATTCTGTTCTCAACCACAAAGGCCTCTGCAGTTGTTCCCTCTGTTTGAAATAATCTTCCCTGAGATACTCTCGTGGCTCATCGCTCTTAGTGTTAAAATCTTTTGTGAGGCTTTGATAAAAAAAAAATAACCCACTGCCGTGGAGTTGGATCCGACTCACAGGGACCCCTCCTTGGGTTTCCGATGCAGCATCACTACGAAAGTAGATTGCCCAACCTTCCTTCCGAGGAGTGGCTGGTGGGTATGAACTGTCAGCCTTCTGGTCAGCAGTCAAATGCCTTAGGCACTATGCTACCAGAACTATAAAAACCACAATCCCTGCTCTGGGGAAACTCCCTAGCTCCCTCTTCTGATTTTTTTCTTCTATAGAACTCATCACCATGTGACATACCAGGGAGTTTTACTTATTTATCTATTTCTTATTTCTTTATTTCCTTTTTGAATTGATGTACCATTACCCAGAGCAATGCCTAGGTACTCAGGAAATATCTGTAAATGAATAAACATAATTAATTTTACTTTTATTTTACTTCTGCCCCCTTCCAAACCAAACCAAACTAATGCTATCTCATCGGATTTGCCTCACAGCAACCCCTCCTTGGGTTTTCGAGGTGGTATCACTACAGAAGTAGGTAGCCCAACCTTCCTTCTGAGGAGTGGCTGGTGGGTTTGAACTGCCAGACTTGTGGTTAGCAGTTAAATGCCTTAGGCACTATACCACCAGAGCTTTGCCCCCTTCAGTGTCCTGAAAAACTTTTTATTTGTACACCACTCTATTATCTACTTCCACATATATCACTTCAACTAATGCTCACTTCCTCCTAAGGAAGGTAGATCAATGTAAAGTTTATTATTTCCAAGATGGCGCTCAAAAATATAAATAAATAAAAGTAATTTCCATGCAGATTTCCCATTCCATCACTGGTCTTATTGTAACTCTGAAGATCAAATCTTTTTGTAAATTCTCTCAACATTTTTTCTTGGACCTCCTTTACAGTAAAAAACATTGAAATAAACATCAAAGTTGCCCGATACAAGGTCAATATACATCAACGAACAAATAGAAAGCAATAAAGAAAAAAAAAGAACCTGCTTAAAAGAACATCAAAAACATCCATACCTAGAAATAAATCTAACCAAAAAAATATAAGATCTCTGTGCTGAAAATGATAAAACATTACAAAAAGAAGTTGAAAAAGATATAATTAAACAGATTAGGCTAACTGACTAGAAGATTTAATACTGTAAAGGTTCAGTTCTCCCTAGATTAATCTATAGATTGAACACATTCCCAATGCAAAGGGCCAGAAATAGCCAAGTCAATCCTAAGGAGAATAATAAAGCTAGAGCACTAACACTACCAGAAATAAAGCTATAGTACTTAAGACAGTGTGGAATTGGTATAGATGGAAAGCTGGAATGGAACAGAGTATAGAAACAGACCTATAAATTTATGGTGACTTGGTTTATGAAAAAAGTAACAGTGTAAATGCAGTGGAGAAAGTGGTCTTTTCAAGAAAAGTCTGATCAACTGATGTCATGTGGATTAAAAAAATGTATCCTGACCCTTACTTCATACCATGGATAAAAATCAATTCCAGATCCTTTATACATCTAAATGTGAATGGTCAAACAATAGAGTTTTTTTACCAGAGGTTAACATCTTTGTGACTTTGGAGTAGGCAGATATTTCAAAAAGTGCTATAAAGGAAAAACAAACTACACTATATTGAAGTTAAGAACTTTTGTTTATCAAGCATATCATTAAGAAAGTAAAAAAGCAAACCAGTGACAGAAGTTATTCACAATACAAAAATTTACCTGAAAAAGGACACATATCCAGCATGTACAGAAAAACATAAATGATTTGAATAATGGAAAAGAAATACTAAAAGAAAAATGAGCAAAAGTCTTGAACATACACTTCACAAAAAAGAATATTCATATGGCAATACACACATACATGCATGTATGCATATATGTGTGTGTGTATCTTCAATTTAATTAGTCATTAGGGAAATGCAACTTAAACCATAATGTGGTATTACTTTATATTCACTAGAATAGTTAAAATGAAACAGATGGAAAATACTGAATGCTGAAGGAGTGGCACAACCGGAACTCTCATACTCTACTTGTTGCTGTTGGTAGCTGCTGATGACTTAGCCACACACTCAAGGCTACCATGCAAAACAGAATGAAACATTGCTCCCTGGCCCTGCATCATTCCATGATCAGTTGTGGATCAGACCTTGTGAGCCTAGGTTTTCACTGGCTAATTTTCAGAAGTAGATAGCCAGGCCTTTCTTCCTAGCCTGTCTTGGGAAGCTCCACTGAAGCGTGTTAAGTATCATAGCAATACACAAACCTCCACAGACAGATGGGTGGTGACTGCATATGAGGTTCATTGGCTGGGAATCCAACCTGGATCTCTCTACATACACTGCTTATAAGAGCAGTAAATTGCTTATAAATTGGTACAACCACTCTAGAATATTGTTCAACAGTATCTTCTAAAGCTGTGTATGAATAGTAATTCTATATTTAGGTAGAAATCAAACAGAAATGCATACACATGTTAACCAAGTGACAAACACTAAAATGTTCATAGCAGTGATAAGAGCCCCAAAATGGAAATTATCCAAATATCCTTCAACAGAACAGATAAATATAGTATATTCACACAAAGGGATATGATCAGCAATGAAAATGATCTATGATTACATGTAATATTAAGGATAAAGCTTACAAATATAATGCTTATTAGAAGAGACCAGACCCAAAAGAGTATATATACTCACTTATTCCATTTTATATAAAGTATAAAAATTGGCAAAATTAACTATCCTATCAGGATAGTATTTATCCTCAGAGACAGGTGAGTGAGTAATGATTGGTAGAGCATCAGGGCTTTTAAGATGCCAGCATGTTCTGTTTCTTAGTCTACATTAAGCTAGCTACGTAAGTGTACTCAGTTAGTGAAAATTTACTGAGGTTAAACAAGTTTACTAAGCGTTAATTTAGTGGAGTAAAAACCATTTGAATTATGCTGAAATATATGTAATAGAACATTGCCATTTCCATCACTTTTATGTATACAGTTCAGGGACATTAATTACATTCTCATGTTGTGTAACCACCATCACTATCTATTTCTAAATTTTTTCATTACCTTTAACAGAAATGCAATATCCCTTAATCAATACCTCCACATTCCTCCCACCTACCTATCCTTGGTAACCACTAACATGCTTTGGTATTTATGTATTTGCTTATTTTAGATATTTTATATAGGCAGGATCATACCAGTATTTGTTCTTTTGTGTCTCTCTTAATTCACTCAGTATGTTTTCAAGGTTCATCCATGAAACTATTTGATCTTCAAGAAAGTATGGGCTGGTATTAATTAGTTTAGCACATGTTTAAAATATAGGTGTTATGGATTGAGTTATGTCCCCCCAAAAAATATGCCGACATCCTAATCCCTCAAACCTATGAATGTGGTATTATTTGGAAACAGAGTCTTTGCAGATGCAGTAGGGTAGGCCCTAATCCAATGACTGGTTTCCTTATTAAAAAAAAGAGACAAAAACAGACACAGAGAGGGAAGATGGTCATTTGAAGACAGAGGCAGAGGTTAGAGTTATGCTGCCACAAGCCAAGGAAAGCCTAGGCTTGCTGGTCATCACTAGAACTAAGAGACAGGCATGGAAAAGATTCTCATACAGAAGGAAGCAATCTTACTGACACCTAGATTTCAGACTTCTGAAACCCTCACATATGTGAGAGGATAAATTTCTGATTTTTTAAGTCACACAGTTTATGGTTCTTTTTAATGACAGCCCTAGGTTATATAATTGTTGTTGCTGTTACGTGCCGTCGAGTCGGCCACAACTCATAGCGACCCCTCCTTGGGTTTCTGAGGCAGTATCACTATGGAAGTAGGATTGCCCAACCTTCCTTCCAAGGAGTGGCTGGTGGGTTTGAACCGCCAGCCTTCTGGTTAGCAGTCAAGTGCTTTAGCCACTATGCTACCAGAGCTCCTAGGTTATATAATAGGTAAGCCAATATTTTACTTTCTATTAGTGTACTGCAGAAGTTAATACTTACAGTAAATTTAGCTCTTTCTTCCATCACCTCATAACCCAGTATAGTAGGTGTAGATGGTCTATCTTCCCAACTGATTGTTTCAGGATTTTGTTCTTCATTTTCTCTGGGTCTAATTGAATACTCAATGGAAGAATCTGTACCTGTAAATTTAGTCCTAATGAGGGGACTGCTACAGACAGAGGAAGTACTATCCATTTGATCAGTCACAGTTGGCTGTTTATAATTACCCATATTTGAGTCTTCTAACTGGCCTTTGGAAGAGTTTGAGCTTGTTGAGATACTCCCAAAAGAAGATCTTCTTTGGTTTCTGTTGGTTGTAAAACTGGAAGCAGAGTTTCCTATGGGCATAGGAACTGGGACATATGGAGTTGCCATCTTCTTTTGGCCTCTGCAACAAAGGCCTAGACACTGTTGGTTCAAATACTTAGAGAACAATTAATACGCAATCCATTATTTTCTTCTCAGGAATTCAATATCTACAAATGAGAGGGACATATTGAAAAATTAATCTTTAATCTGGAGCATGATTCAAAATATAATAAAATATTCATAACTATTTTAGTTTTGTGGTACTCTTACTATTTTTGGAATGGAGATATGCCAAACTCCTTTCTTTAATCACAAAACATGATTTTTAAGGACTCTTATTTCCAAGGTAAGGAGGTCTGGTAGCGTAGTGCCTAGGGTGCTTGACTGCTAACCAGAAGGCTGGCGGTTCAAACCCACCAGCCACTCCTCGGAAGGAAGGTTGGGCATTCCTACTTCCGTAGTGATACTGCCTCGGAAACCCAAGGAGGGGTCGCTATGAGTTGGGTCTGACTCAATGGCACATAACAGCAACAATTTCCAAAGTAAAGAGATAAAACTACTCCACACCTTTTTTTGACCCTTGTATTATCTTTTTTTCTCCTCTACTTTCCTTGTGAGGCATTTCTCTAATGTTCATTTTTCCTTGACTTCATTTATATAAAAGAGATGGAAGGAGAAAGAGTGATAAATACCTTTATGAAGTTTTATTAGCTGCTTATGGTTCTAATGGGAGCTCTGGTGGTGTAGAGTCTAAGGCTAACCAGGATGTTGGTGGTTCAAACCCACCATCCACTCCTCGGAAGGAAGATCGGCAATCTACTTCTGTAGAGATACCGCCTCAGAAACCCAAGGTGGGGAGGCTGTGAGTCAGAGACAACTCAACAACAACATGGTCCTAAGAGTACTTACTAGGTACACAGTAAAGGGAGGGCAGAAAGCAAAGAGGAAAATTACTCCTCTTATCTTTTGTTTTAATTAGTGAAACTCAAGAGAATCACAGAGTAATATCTGAACCAGAAGCTTAAATGCTACACAGTAAATATCTACTGTTCTTAAATTAACATTTTATAGAACCCAGGATCAAATGTATTTGGTAAGAAAACAAAAACCAAAGCTTTATGAAATTAAATTAAATTAAATCTAATGAGCATTAAATTGTATATCCAACAAGATCAAATAATTAGAAGTTTAAATGTTCTCTAGAGTTCCTAGATCATCACTAATCCTGCTTCGCCACAAACTGTGAGCTGTTGTTATGTACTGTCGAAGCAGACCCGACTCATAGCGACCCCTCCTTGGGTTTCCGAGGCAGTATCACTACAGAAGTACATTGCCTCATCTTCCTTCCAAGGAGTGGCTGGTGGGTTTGAACCGCCATCCTTCTGGTTAGCAGTCAATTGCCTTGGGCACTATGCTACCAGAGCTCTCTAAACTGAGAGTACTTAACCAATATTTATAACTCATGCTCTTGTCAAAAGAAGCTCTGGTGGCGTAGTTAGTGCTTGAGGCATTTGACTGCTAGGGAAGGTGGGTTCAAACCCACCATCCACTCCTCGGAAGGAAGACCAGGCAATCTATTTCCGTAGAGATACTGCCTCAGAAACCCAAGGAGGGTTCCCTATGAGTTGGATTTGACTCCACGGCAGTGAGTTTGGTTGTTGTTTTTTTTTTTTTTCCGGTACTGTTGTCAAAAGAATCAGTAAAGTTTGCGTCAGAATATTTTCATAATAATACAAAAGAAAAGGTTTACCATCAAGTTAATAAATTTATAAATGATTAAGAAAATGTAATGACTAGAGACCAGTTAAATGACAGGACTTCACATAACAGGTCTGCTTATCCAACCCTATTTTATGCAACTCCCGTGGTGCAAAAGGTGGGAAACTCATACGCCGCCCTGAATTTGGAAAGATGCTGAAATACGATTTTTAACCTAGCATGTGGCTCTGACCAACCTATCCCATCATCAAAGATTCAAGAAACTTGACCTGCTGATTCATCGATCCTAGGTTCCGCCTGATGGCCTCCCCAAAAAAGAAAGAAATGTCTAAAATCTCACGCTTCTGAAGGCCTGTGTGATCGTTCTGCCCTTTGCCACTAGACTACCTGAGGCTACAGGCTAGGGGTTGGACGCGTATCAATACAACTACTGACGTTCAGAGATGAGACCCACCCAGGCGTTAAGAAAACGTATTGTACCCATTATAGGAGTGGGTTCACTTTTGTCCTGGCTAGGAGTCTCTCCGAGGATGATCATCTTAGTCTCATTCTGGAAATCCTCGGGCAGGTAAGGTGGCCCGGCCGTAAAAAGTAAGGTGGGCGAAAAAAGTGGGACGCTAGAGAGTGGAGAAACCCAGGCGCAGCTCGACCCCAAGCGCATCGGGCAGGGGTCCGCTCAGGCCACCGGACTAGGGCTCCACGGGACCTGAAACGCATCCCTTCTGAGGCTTGGAGACCCTATTCCCTCTGCCTCATGATACATGGTCAGCGCCTCCCAGACGGAAGAGTCGGCTGTGACAAGAGGGTGGCCGAGGGGGCCACCCCGCTCCTGCAGAATTCCCCGGCAGCCACGTGCAGGTGTCTCCCACGCGAACACGAGCGCCAGCGCCCGGCGTCGGGTCCCTACCTCAGTTGAGCTTACTCCGCAGTCCTGCTCCAGAGCGCTTCTCGGTGACGGTTAAACTGTACCCTCCGTAACCGCAGTCTTTCGCCTCCTCCCACAACACCGAGAGATCTCACGTGACTCCTCGCCCAGAAAGCAGCACTTCTCCGCCTTTGCCCGCCTCCTCCTGCCTACCCCGGGCGGTCAGACCCAGGACACCCGCGAGGTGAGGGAGGGGCCGGGCTTGAGCCGCCTTTCCCGGAAATGGCGTCAGGTAAAGGGCACCCGCCCCTAAAGCGGAGACTTGGGCTTGTTGGGCCAGAGCTTTCTGGTAACCGGTTGAGCGTAGTCTTGTGGTAAGAATTACACCTCCTCTTTCCTACCTTATTTTTTGAAGTGAACATTTGAGAAACAGAGGCTACAATACCTACTTTGTTCGACAAATGATCAGCCGGCCACCATTCCCCGGAAGGTCTACTGCCAATCTGCCTAGGCGCTTGCACTGCATCATGGGAGTTGTAGTTATCACCAGCATGGGGTGGTTATTTTCATAGGTTATAGATTGTTTTCCGGAATTACCAAAACCAAACTGACTGCGGTGGACTCGAACCCGACTTATAGCTACCCCTCCTTGGGTTTCGGAGGCAGTACCACTACAGAAGTAGATTGCCCAATTTTCCTTCAGAGGAGTGGCTGGTGGGTTTGAACTTCCAGGCTTCTGGTTAGCAGTCAAATAAATGCCTTAGGCACAGTGTACCTTCCAGAGCTGTGCTTTAAGGGATGACAGTTGTTTGGAAGAGTGGGTCGACAGAGCACTGCTTTACAGTGTATCTGCCTCACATAATTCAGAAGTCCTCATGAGCAGTGAACCCATGAAATTATTTAGTGATTTTCACTCCCTGGGAAGCATTTTTATCCCAAATGATGTTAAGTTTGTTAGATTTGCACATCTGAAGGCCAGGTTGTTGATCAGAAAAGCCGTTTTTTGATAGTCACATTCTATCAGGCCAGCTTGCAGGCCTGTTCGTCATTAAAATTGTGTGATTTGATTTAAAGATCATTCCAAGATTTCTAAGGCTTTGGAGTACATAGCTCCAAAAGACGGGAAAATAAACGATAGTAATTTAAAAATGAACATAAGGATAAAATCTCTCTTGTAACATGATGATTTTGATTTGAGAGATAACTGCTCTTTCTGTGAGAATGAGACAACAATTTAATAGAAACAGGACTAAAAGATAGTTATCAGGATATACTTGGCAACCATTGGCCTGGAGGGGGCAATTAAATCGGAGAGTTCTGTGAGTGAATAAGGATATATAGAGAAAAGCAGAGAAAAGAAAAGTGAACCTTGGGATATTTCTCTCACTTCAGGGACAGGGCTGCAGGTGGTAGCAAAGAGACCTGTAATAAGGAAAACGTGATAGATTATCTAATATCTAAGAAGCTAAAGAAAATGAAACTTTCAAGAAGTAAGGGTGTATAGATACCACAGTTAGGAGAGTAAAGATGTAGAAAAGAACACAACAATACGCATACTACATACTTATTTTCTGTAATATCTGGTGTTGGTGAATGTCTAGATAATAGTTTCAGGAAATAAACTGGAAGTCTTGGGAAATCAAGATAGAATATCTTGTTGGGTAGAGTTGTTGTTGTTGTTGTTAAGTGCCGTCGAGTCGGCCCCGACTCATAGCGACCCCTCCTTGGGTTTCCGAGGCAGTATCACTACGGAAGTAGGATTGCCCAACCTTCCTTCCGAGGAGTGGCTGGTGGGTTTGAACCGCCAGCCGTCTGGTTAGCAGGCAAGTGTCTTAGCCACTATGCTACCAGAGCTCCCCCGTTGGGTAGAGTAAAAGTTACATTATATCATAAGCCATATATGACCTCCAATCCCTATTAATTTTTTATTTTAATTCAGTTCCTGGATACCTCTATATAGTACCTACAGTCAAATTGAAGGAGTGCTAAAAAGTAAAAAGTAACAGAAACCATTTTTCTGCCCCTTTCATTATTTTAATATATAAAATATGTATCCTTCAGAAGGACATTTTGAGCCAAGTAAAGGAATAACTTTATATAATGATACATAAATACTGCTAACTGAGGGGTAACAGCCGCAGCAGAATAAACTATGCACAGCAAGCAGACATCTTGTGCGGTGGACTACTAGATTCTAGTCTCTCTCCCTTCTCTGCTATTTGTTCCTCTTATGCAAGGCTGGGCTTCTGGTGGCCATGCTTATAAGAAGGGATTCTGGTTTTTGTCATAATTGATTGTGCCAGGGAAAGGTATTTTACCCAAGTTGTGTCTGATAGATGCTCTCTCCTAGAAGTTTTAAATTTGGAAAAGAAGAAAGCTAGATGTCACAGGAGCTAAAGTCAGACTAAAAAAACTGTGGTGAAGTGTCCATGAAGTCCTATTGCTGAGGTTCCGAGAGTTAATCTGGTTGATCTTCTCCATTCTTTCCCTTGGACTTCATGTGGTAACCTACTGTCCTTCCAATTAATTAGCTTTTTGCTTAAGTCTAGCCAGAGTTGGTTACTTTTCTTATAACCAAAAGAACAACTAA